CTTTTTTATGACGGAAATTAAATATAAATTCAGCTATATTTACACTTGTCCAATCAATTCACAAGACAGTAAATACATATAAAAGATAGTAAGTAGTTGTATACGTATTTCTGTGAATGAATAGTACCAATGATATTACCCAAAAATCTACATTGACTTAATATGTACCGAACATAAATTCGTGCATGGAACCACAGAAAACGTACTACAGTAGTACGTTTTCTGTGATGGAACCGAAATAGCATATCCTTTCGATACCGAGAAGTCTAAATTGACTCAGTCATAGAAGTTACTATACCAAATACACGTTCTGTTTCGAATTAAATTAACATTTAGGACAAAACTGACTATACATAGACGTTCCGACAACATTAATATTTGTCAGGGAATTAAATCAGTTTAAATTTAGATACAATTCCACACATTCTCATACCCACACACACAAGGCCAGAGTTATTACCTGCATTCAAGGTCACTGGATTTTTATCAGTTATGCAACAGATCGCACAACTACCTTGGTCAATTGCTTGGTTCAATTATATGGCTATTTGGTTACGAAACACGGTTAGAAATGCATTGTTATGTAAAAAATCGTTGTGGAGATTAAAATGTATGAAGTTGATAGGAATTTGCTTGTTTAATGGAATTATAACTGTTGACGTGAGAAAAATGTCTCAACGTAATACAGGGTATGTTTAAAGAATTGTTACTAAAATATATAAATATATGTAGATAAGATCTATAAGATCTAAAATCTAACAAGCCATCGTTAGCACGATAACTCGAGTAAACATAAGATTTTGTTGAAATTTTGTACAATCGTGTAAACCCGCGTTTATTCGAAAAAACCCGCGGGAACCAGCGTGATCGCAATAAGGGGGTTAATTTAAACAATTGTGTAGGTTAAAAACAAATAATTTAGTATAAAGAAGGGTTGCTGTACGCTTCAGCAATTGTCACGGAGAAAATAGAAAACATAAGATATTTAAAGAAAAAAAGAAAATTGGATATGTTATTCTTATGGAGGTTAAGTAAACTGTTTAATTTAGTTTGTTTGTTTATGGATATATTTTGATAAATTTTGGTTAACTTAGTTATACTAGTACTGGTTTATCGGTACTAGTATATTAACAATTCACTAAAACTCACTTTATTACCTCCCCTGTAGCAGTACTCTTCAAACATAATGTTATTGAAATAGGGAATAAATCTGACAGTTTTAAGAAAACATTTTAGTGAAAATCCAATTAGGCAAATAAAAACTCGTCAAATCTACAGGTTTGCTGTGGCAGGGGAGTTATGATGTTGTTATTTTTATAAAGCAAGAAATGGATCAAACTTGATTGGATACCTCCTTTAATTCATGATCCTTTAGTGTTTTTAATGATATGGTTACTATAGTAACTTAATCAATGGGCTGCCCGAGAGCATAAAATAAGTTTAATCCAGTAAAAGATATTTGAAAATATCTTGAAAAATTATTCATTGATTTTTTTAAGTACTGTATTACGCTTGATACCATTTGTTTGGGAAAGTACAAAAAAGCGCAAAATACTGCCTATACCCTACTATTTTATTTTTCATCTCTTAGCGGACATAGCTACTTAGTAATACTGTAATAATAATTCATAATCGTTCTTTAGTTAAAACGGATTTTCAATTAAAAAAAGTATAATGTGCAATTATTAGACAAAATTATTAATTTAAAGTATGATTAATGTGAAATTAAATACAAACTAGTTCTTAAATATTAAATAAGTAACTTATCATACTTCTACGATTTATAATATGAAAATATTACTACACATACACCAACACGCTTAAAATGAATCTAATTTTTAAAAGAAATCCTCTAATATAATATTATGTTGCAAACGTAACAAAAGTCATATTTTATGTGGTAAATGCCTAAGAGAAATGTTAGTCATATATATCAAACTAACTGTCAACCGTCTCAACAATGGAAGAATACATAGGAATACGACAGGCAGATTGTATCAATCAACCTTACAAAAGAGCAACTAATTTTAAGAATATTGCTTTTAAAAGGCTTCTGTTGTTCATCATGCTACACCGGTAATAACTTATTTCGTTTACGGTCAGTAGGGCCTCTTTCACTTACTGCCCTGTTAAAAATAGGTTTGGTGTATTCGGAATCAATAATATGATATAGTTTTATTCGTGTAAATATGTTTTAAGAATATGTTTACGCTTCCCTTCCTATTAATTAAATGTTAATTTGTTTTTAGCGAATTTCCCATATAGTGAATAAGCTATTACCGTAGTACTCATGATAAGACCTGGACCCGGGGCTGATTTACTTTTTCGTTTTGAGGTGCCTAGAGGCCAAAAACACAATACTTTCAAATTCATATATATATATATATATATATATATATATATATATATATATATATATGTACACACCAAACTACGCACCCTGATGTGTTGACGTCTTATTAATCTTAATGAATTATATAGACATAAAAGGTTTTCGTTCCTAAAGATTAGAAATTGTCCATCAGTGATTCTACTTGGAGCATTTCCAACTGGAATCGATCAAATAATTAATCGTGTCTTCGCATTGTAATCAAAAGCATTTACTATCTACGATAAAATATACTGTACATGACATTACTGTACTGTGAATGTGTGTATTCTTTCAACAAAGGTTTCGTAAAATTTTAACTCTTTCCTCTGTGTGTCTTGACCTCGATTGTTATTACTCCGTGGCAGGTGTTCCCAGTTTCACCTGTTGATTGTTGATCAGCTGTCTTCCCCTGAACCACCTGCCTCCTTTGTCTCTTTCTGGTTTTGTTTTTGTCTAAAGAAAACCAATTAAATTCGCAATACATGAACAATGGAATGAAGTGTCCGCTTCTAAACAAATAAATAAAATATGAGTTGTATGAATGTGTTTGTTGTAATTTTAAATTTTCAGATCATTATCAATTATTGTTATTCATACAATAGTCAGATAATAGTATATATATTATAAAAATTTGATTTGGATTTTGGTCTTTCTGTTAGTTATGTTCTAATTGTTGTTACGAATATCGCAGGCTGATTCGATAGTTATTTAAATCATGAATTCTCTTTTGATTTTGTTATCCTTGATTACGTCGTTGAAATTGTTATAATAAACAATATTTTGTTTATTAGTCATTTCGTATTAGTAATTTGGCACTATTCCAAAGAAATTATGTGAACGATACTTTTTTTTCCTTAAGGTACTGTAATTTACATCCACAAGAAAATCTTTTTAACAGTATGCGTAGATTTTCCCTGCGATGCACACGAGCTGAGAAAAAAGGTTTTAAAGAAACCTGCTTGCCTATTTAAATAGATTAGGCTACCTTGAAAGCCTATTAGTGCAGTATACAAATCTTGTGAAGTAGACCCAAATTATCATGGAAACAACAAATGTCCATCCTTAATCGTTGAATAGCAATGATCTTACACCACGAAACAATTAGTTAATGCAACAGCGACCACATGCTGACCACAAGTTTGTTCTGGCATTTTAGCAAAATAATATTGAACAGTCTTAAAAAGTTGTTAACATGCTGGAAATGAGTATCTGAAAAAAACCCTCTTGTCCCTTTATGCACAGAAAACATACTCTTTAAGTCAGATGGGTGATAGATGAAAGAAAAATATTTATTCCAGAGATAATTTAAACGGACCTTTCCCGTTAATTTCCCCCATAATCCCTACATAATTTGTGTGAAACAATCAGGCAATACATAAATAATAGAGTTTTAATCTTTTAACCCCCTACTAAATGAAAAGTGTATATGACAACTTGTATTGACACAAACTAGAACATATAAAACTATGCCGTTGAACAAAATAATTTCACAGTAAACCTAGAAAATGTTTGTTCATTCACAAAGTGATCTGATGAGAATCGAGCAATTAAATATTTTGGGTCAGGCACTGCAGGAACGAGCGCCTTGAATAAACTATGTAGGTCGATCAATATAGAATAATTGATGTAGGGATTGTCAATAAACCATTGACTAGAGACCTTTGATGGCGTGATTGATATTGATCTGATGTGGGATATTGGCTCGGCGGCTTCACGATGTTTTGTATGTGAAGCATTGCTATCAATTAATGGACATTATTCGAGTTTTGTAAAGATTTTAAAGCAAGTTTGTCGTACTCCAATTTCGTTTCCACTTCAAATATGGCTAAATATCACGTTGATGTCAATATACATCGATTAACTTTTCAAAATCCCATTGTCTCAAATGTTGAATGCGTCTTATATTTTGTATTACCTTTATTCAATTTTCTCAAACTATTTATATAAAAAGTACCTGGGGACCGAGCTTTGCTCGGGGGAAATCATTCCCCCGCTGTGATGCCAGCCTTTACTACTTCCTTCGCCATTTCCTACGTCATGGACCTGTTTCCTTTCCTTCTCATAGCATTTAAGTATTAAAGATACATTAATCTAACTGCCACAAACGGTTCCCACACTCTGCGAGGCTAAACTTTACTACTTCCTACGTCGTCGGCCTGTTGTCATCTCTTTCCATAGCATTTTAGTATTTTAAATACATTCAAGTTTAACTGGTGTGTGGGTTTGTTCCTTGCTATAAGAGGTGTTAAATCAACGCTAGTACTTTTTAGCTTAAAATGTACAGGGTGTGGAACAAATAGTTAACATTTGTTCCCTGATAAAACTGCTACTAATTTTAACTTGTTTAGCCACTCTTTCAAGTGGTGTTTTTAGAACACTTTTATGTGGAAAGAGGATGGAAAGATGGTAAAGTTCAAAAGTTTGTTATAAACCCTGTATTTCAAAAATTTTGGTTGTTCAGGATATTTTAACAGAAGATTAAAACACAATCGGCAACATCAACGCACTCAAAAGTCACATACAGGAAACACATCATAACATAATAGGACGAGAAGTCTATTTGGTCTATCCAAAGTCAATGATCACCCCAGGCAGTACAGTCTGATCTTCATGAATCTATTTGTTGCAGGGACTGTACCGCAGGACCGGCTCGTACCACCGAACTAGTAAGTAAAATAAACAGTTAAAGTTTGTCTTCAGTTTCTGGATTGTTCGATAAGCCCTACTTCCATAATTAGGCATTCTAATACAATGAGTCATTGATAAGTAGGCAGCAAATTGTTAAAATTAAATTTCCCTAATATTGTTTTATATTGGGGGTGTTTTAGTGATTAGTAATAAAAGTTATGGTCAGTTTTCGAACTACATTTCTTGTTTTGTTTCAGAAAGTTTTTTTTCTAATATTTCGTTTTACATAAACTATTAATTCACTCATGTCGTGTCTCGCAGTCAATTAGCCTCGCAAAATAGTAAATCGATGTAGCTAATATTTTGTCAGACATTTAGGTTTTATGCAAAGCACTAAAATATTCAGTACGATGGATTCAAAATACGATGGTCATACAATATCAAACAAAAGCATTAGAAGGGCATAAAATAAGTAACCAAATTTTTACCGCAATATAGGCCTACTTATGACTCAGATCAATTTCTCGCCCAGGCTTGGAAAATCATGAAAGTTTAACTGTATTGAAAATTGTTGTTCTGCCATAAAAAGTTTTGCCTGTCTGGGACATATGCGATTAATAGAATTTTGTCAAGATTGTCAGAAACAAAATAGTGTTTATGTTTATTAACTTGAGTTTTGTTATGAGGTGAAAACAAATTAAGGTTGAAGTAGAATGAACAACATAGAGGTATTATGACTCTCAAAAATCAGCTGTTTTTTTTTAGCCAAGACTGTTATAACAACGATCATCTACAGCTGGGTCCAGTTTCGAACCATAAAAAGCCACAGACTTTTCTCAGAATCGAACCTTCCGATTACCACTCGAGCCTCAGTTTTGCAGATAAAAATATCTTCCACTAAAATCAATAACTACAGATGCAATATTGAAACTGATATGTTAACCTAAAGCCCAGGGCAGGTCAGTAATATTACTTCTCCAGTTTAGCTTCAATAAACCAGGTCTCGTGTTGTAGTTGCTCAGAACTCTGAACGTTACGACAAACACTTTGATATATATTGCTCCCAAGTTTCAAGCCGATTTATTCTCTCAGGACACAACTGCCTCTGACATTATAAGCTGAGATTTCACTCTACTTATGTCCTTTTATCTAGAAACTAAATGTAAAGTATTTAATCATAGCATTTCGATCAATTATTGAAATGAGGCGTAAATATCAAAGTGAAAGAAAACAGAAAAGAAAAGGAAAACTTTACTGATTTCTCTTAAAGACACAACATGTTTCCTTTGAACCATACTAAAAGATTATACATTGACAATTAATGCGTTAACATTAGGGATCTAATAATATTTTTTTCAATACTTCTTTGTGCATAGTCAGTTGTCAAAGATATTACTGAACAGTTTAAATCCGAGAGAACATAAAATTGTTCGGAATCTATTAAATTGTTTGCTCAATCACCTAAGTTATTGGACAGTTTTTAAGAACAAAGTTTTCTGCCCCAAAGTCTCAAGTGCCGTAATGAGTGTGTGTGGGTTTCTTTACAGTTTACTTGAAGTTGTTTGACTTGAACTAACAAAATAGTTTAATGTTATAGAGAACCAGGACAAATTTTTTACACGTAATAAAAACAATTGAGATCAAATGCTGAACGTATAGTAAACTTTCAATTTCGTATTATTAGGCCTACATCATAGGGTTCAAAACCATACATCATATGGCCCGATTTTTTCATGATTTTTTCACTATTCCACGACTAGGGACTCCATTTTTTTTGCCTAGGATAGCAAACTCAAAATCAAAGCTACTTTAGCCTTGTAATGTGTTTATAGTAGACTCTCCTCTAAAAGCATGGAAACATGTAAATCCTATTTTTCCACAAAACACATAAGCCACAACGCCAAAGTGGTTTTGAATCAGACGTCCAGTCCATAGTAAAATTAAGTTCAAAACGATAAGTCTTTTTTTAGAAATAAAGTTGTGGGTTTAGTTTGAGATATTTCCCTTAGTGAGTGACGTATTGAGGTCAAGACTCTAGTTAATATTTGTGCAGTTATGTAACATGTATGTCGCAGCCTGTGTCGTCTGTCGAATGTGATCAATGCAATCCAGTCACTGACCGAGACCTCGCAGTGCGGCGTTTTATAACTCAAATGTATACTTTAAAAAATATACAAACGAGTTTGTTAATATGTATAAAATTTATAATACTGTATAACCAAAATATAAGTGGATTCTAGTATTTGTTGACTTATGTTAACACGACGTTGTGAAAACATTGGAGATAGAAGGTTCGTAGTATGTAATGCAATTAATATTTATATAATAATGTAATAAATAAATAAATCTTTTGTGGATAAGTAAGCTGTCCAGAGTCAATTTCAAACGAGAGTTAGGCTAAAGACATGGAAATAAATTTAAGAAGATAAAATGTATTTTTATTTAGGTTCAATTTTCTCTGATATTACATTACCGTTCAAACCTGTGCGTATTTTCACTAAGATCACCACCATCAGCTTTTGATTTCAAGCTAGAAACTACTTCAGACTGTATTTGCTCGCTATTTACAAAACTAGTCATGATTCAAAGAATCAGGTTAGAAATTACAAGATATTATTTTTACTAGAGATTACATTTACATGGTACAAACTAAAGATATGATACAGAGCCAGACTAGCTAGATGATATCTCAGATTATAAATTAAACTGTAGGCTAAACAATAGCTTAATGCATCATTTACTCGAATAAGGGCCTTATTAAAGCGTTTACGATAATACTCAGATGTGAGTTAATACGATGCAAGTAGGAGTGGGAGGAAATTTACTGAAAATGAGACACATTTTGACTTTAGGAAATTGAGTAAATTTTGAACAAATTGCAAAGGAAAAACGAACGGGAGGGGGCAAATAGGGTGAGAGGGGTGGTGCACTGGTGCAGCTGGGTCAGATAATAGTGGAGCAGTTATTGCTTTGATCAAAATACCTCCCTAGATTTGACAAGTATAAGGGAGGTTGTAGATGATTCTAACAGCCTTTATTTGAAGGTGGAAAATAAATACAGGACTTGTTTCTCCACCTGCTGTATTTAGTGCAAATGCAACTGAAGCGCTTGGAAAACATGCTTGGATTAAGTCAAGGCCACACCCTGAAAATACATCTCTGTTACGAGGTTTTATAGTTAACACGAGAGGATTATCCCTGATCTAATCTTCCTACTGACAGAATCAACGTAAGAATAGAGAATTGTCCATAGTTAATACTTTGAAGACTTGATGTCAGCTTTGCTGTAGGATGGAGATAGCGTGTACAGTCTCCAGGTCCAAGCAAGTCTCAAGCCGTTAGAAGCTATAAACGGTCACAAACTGCAGGATTATGCAACTATTGACTCCAGGATGCAATGTGTGAGTCTACCGAGTGGTTAGCCTTGAACTATCGGAGGCATGGAGGTCAGTCTGTAGAAAGGACACTGTTGTCGTTTACGTCTTATGGCGACGAAATTGGATTGATCCAAGTGAAAATTAATTAATTAAAACTTAATAGGTTTCCTCTAAGGGTACATATAAACCGAAAAGTTTTGCTTACCTACTCTTTGTGCAGGGTGGTTTCGGGGCTAGTGACCCCAGTTAAGGTAAGCTTAGGGTTAGGTTGGATTGGGTCATTTGGTCGGGCTTTACTGAGCTTTTCGAGTTTACCTAATTTAATGTTGCTTGGTAAAACGCCGTTTTGTGTATCTACAATTATTATGTAACCAAGGTTGTTAGTTTTAAACAAATTATAATAGTTTAGGTAAGTGATTTAGGTGCGTGTCTTCAAATTTGATGGTGATGTTCCCATTCCGATCCCCCATTGTGTCCTCTGAGGTAGATTTTGTCTCCGGATGCTGTTTTCCCTGGGATTATCAATTAATTAATGTAAATATATTCTACCCAGTTAGTTTGTAATTTATTTTTGCTTGTCTTTTAGACACATGTTATAGCTTTTAAATTTTGAAACGTGCTTAATTATGGCTCAGTTATAGTTAGGGTTCTGTTAAAATAAAAGTACCCGGGAACCGAGCCATGGTTCGGTATACTGTGGTTTATTTCGACTTACGTTTTTTACAACAAATTTTGGCTTTTATTATTTAAATTCCTGTGGAATTTCAATTTATAATGAATACAGCAGTCGAAATTATGTTAACTATAAAAAAGAGTGCATAACAATTGTAAAATCTACCCTTAAATAAGAGTGAAACGAGTTGGCGTCAGAGCACTCAAACACTAACACGAAACACTCATCACTCATCAACCCTGACTTGCTCTGTTTTCCCCTATATCGAGTAATCTTCAGTGTAATCTTTGCTCAATAGTTACAACTGATGTTTATCACTTTGTACTGTATTTTATAATTTGCTAGTATACTGTGGATGGCTTGTTATAAACACGTGTTACAAGTCTTTTGTTTACTTTTTACTTGTTATTTTGTTCAACCAACATAGTTACGTGGCAACCCATAAGGCCAATGTTAAATTTTTAAATTTTCGAATGAGTAGTAGTAAAATACGAATTTTTCTGAGGTAGTGGCTCTTGATTTCTAGAGCTATAAGTCCCAAATTCCAAAATTTAGTCAACATCCTTCCGCTTGATTTTGATATATATTACAGACATACAGACAGACAAACATACTTTGCTCGTATAAGAGTAAAGGATAAAGTTGTGTGCTCTCTCAATAAATAAATGGTTTCCACAAATTATTTATCTTGGGCAGTAGCCCAATAATGTAAATAGTTCAAAAATTTACAACTCAGAAGTTTTTTCAAAGAAAAATATTAGAACTTCTCATTTAAAGGTAAACCCTCCTCCCCATTTCAATTAAATATGCAGTGTTTCTTATCTGGTAAAACTATAATATACGTAATTGCTATAAGCTGTAAAACAAATACTATTGAACAGGTAAGAAACCCTATTAAATTTAATACACTCACTAACTGTTCGATACGATTGATTTATTGAAAAAAATCCATGATGAACTACTTGTCGAGGCTATTTGTTTGACAATC